TATTTATATATAGCGTACATATATAGCAACAGCCTAGTGGACCAAACTCTCACAAGTCAAGCCTGGCCTCGGGCCGGGCTTGGGGAGTAGAAGAACTCCCAGAACCCCATCAACCAGGTATCAACTAGGTACAGGCTGCTGTAGTGCGTCCTGTTGACAGTTGGACTGCGCCGTCAGGGTAAAAATAATACTGGAGACATTAGGTTTTTGTTAGAATGTGCCATTGTTTACAGTGTAACTGTTCTTGGAAAGATTTGTCACGCTAAAAGCCTCGTTTAGTGTACACACTCCGGACTCATCACGATGGTGTTACACTCCTACTGTACACAGGGAGTGTGACAAAAACGTGGTTACAAAAGCTTTATATACAGCGTAAGGACATGTTAGTTGTTAATGATGTTGCGTATGTCACTTCTGCCATAACACTGATAATGTGTTTAACAAGTGGGGGGAGGGGGTATAAGTTGTCTATGTTGTGGTGGCGTCTCATTATTTTCTTATATGCAAAATGTCTTAAAATTAATATTGATCTGGCGTTGAAGACATTGTTGCCACCTCTGTGAACCCATTGTGTGTGGCTAGTGACGCAGTCACCGGCAGAAAACGTGCCTTCACAGGCTGTTCCAGAGACTTGGTGCCATCATCACGACACACCTGTAGGTATACAACACTGCTACACCCTTGGCCTCCCTCGTTACAGCTCATCTGACCTACATTATTATGCATCCGTCTCCCACACTAACCTCTACCCCATATCATATGTATAGCGTTATAATGCGTGCCGGGATCAAGCTATTGGATGGCGAATTTCGTTGCCAATACACGGGCGGTGGAGAGTTCCGGGTGTGGAGGACAGCGCAGTATTTTCCACTCTCTCCCACCCGGCTAATGAGTCCATTCCACCAGCTTGCCACATACTTGCGCGCAACACGCCATCTACTCGTTTTCAGTAAATACTGTAATTTAATTTTATATATCGATCAGTAACTGCAGTAGTAGCATGAGGAACAGTATTGGTGGATTAGTTTGAGAGCGGGGATTTGGTGTCATGGTGTTTATGTAATGTGACGTGTCGTGCTGCCAGACGCATGTCGAGCCATCCAGGATGAATACTGCTGTATCTTGCCTATGGCAGAGTTCATCGCGTTCACCAATTGAATTTGCTATTTACAAATGTGGGTTGTATAAGTACGTCATGTGTCGATTGGGCTCGTGGTGTTGTTTACGTGAATATCTGAACACGTAAGTTTGAATGCCTGGATGTTTTTCTTGGCAGAGTTGAGAAATCGCGAGTCTTGCCGAGTCACTGTTCGTAGACCAGTAGCTTCTCTTAATAGTATTTTGTTACTGTGCAGGATGGAAGGCTGCAATATATCGTGACCACAGCGTCCTTCCCCCTGCAGCTGAGTGCAGGTTCCCAGCAGCACGCATCTTCGCCCACCAGGACACGATGCTTTCTGCCTCCTCGTGTGTAATATATCGCAAGAAAGTCAGGAGGCTATGAAGAGGCGGCAGCGTACACTGTGCTTGCACCATGGTTGTGGCTAATCTTTTTTTATGTCTTGTAACGATGCAAGTCTCTTCCTCCCCCAACCCCTCCCTCCTTTTCCTCTTGACTTTCGCTGGATACTCCATAAGCGTCGTCTGTTGATGGGCTGGCAACTGGACATGGTTGGAACCATCCTTATATAAATTTGTTAGTACGTTTTACAACAAAATATAGTCCCGTTGAGCATAAAATTTTGAACAAGTAAACAAAGTTATCAAACTAAAGGAAGCTAATGGAGGCACGTGCGAGGGAGTCCTTAGCAGCTCCACTTCACGACATATCCTTTCCAGCAGTAGAAAACCTGGTTATACAGTGTAAAACGAAGCTGAGGGGTGTCTGCTTTATTGATTTGTTTTCAGGTCGTTAATATTCTGTCAACGGTTCGTATTTTTAGAAGAATAATTTCATCACGCGCGCGCGTGTGGACGTCATAATACCAATTTATATTTGTCCTGTCCGGTTATAGTTTCAGAGGTGATGATTATGTGCGGTGGGGATGAACAGTGCCCAAGACCTCAGAAAAGTATATAATGTACATCATTGCTGCTATTTTTTTTGTGTGTGTGTGTATATATGTGTATATATATATATATATATATATATATATATATATATATATATATATATATATATATATATATATATATATATATATATATATATAATTATATATATATATATATGTGTATATAATACACATCACATAATGTTCACACAAGTTTTGGACAAGATTAGCTTTTTTTTACGGGGGATTGAGTGTAAAGAAGATGGAGAAACGCAAGTGAAGGGAAAGTTTAGAAATTTTGAAATATAGTGCAAGTTATGATAGGCGGGCGGGCGGGCTGTCCACTTTGCTGACACGTGTGTGTGTTTGGCAGCTAAGCTGAGCTGGCAAGTAGACTAAAAAAGCCCGTGATAGCAGTGGCATCAGGGTGAAAGAAACTCTGCCCATCGTATATCGCCGGCGCCTGGGATCGAACCCGGGACCACAGGATCACGCGTCCAGTGTACTGTCCGCTCAGCCACCGGCTCCCAAAGGGGAGGGGTAATACCTGGATTTTTTTTTTTGGCCAGTACTCTTAATAGTACTGCAACGTTTGTTTTTATTTCTTGTTCACCTGACATTTGAGTTGCATAACCAACACCTCGTGATGGCACACTCGCCCCGCTTTTTGCCAGCGATTTTCCTCCGACAGTAATTGGGGCCTTTTTTTTAACACAGTTGTAAACCGATTGACGGGTCGTGTTCCAGCGAAAACAGGAGCTAAGGCGGCTAACGAGGGCCACAAATTTATCCACTTGTGTATATTAAAAATAAAATATGTTTGGCTAGTGGCAGACAGAAATAACGGGGGGTGGTTCTCGTCAAGCGGTGTAGCAAGCGACCATCTGTTAACAGGAATGAGTAACGGTAAGATATGAACGGTAGCCGGCTTGGCCCATGTTGCGGTAACATCGCCATAGGATGTAGCCATTTCTTGCCTGCACATGGGGGTGCTTAATAAAGAAAATGAAGGGAAAAATAGTGCGTATAGGTGCCTGTGATGGAGGCTGGTGATAGTGTTTAGACCTGATAACTGTTACTGAAACATTGCCATATTGACGATTTGCTATGGATAATAGACTGTAGGTGGTGTTCTTAATAGTGGCGGGTGGTTATAATAGTGGGTGGTGTATAATAGTGGGTGGTGGTGGTGTTGGCGGGGCGCCCCTCTCTATCTCACCCCCCCCCCCCCCCTCACTCTCACTCTCTCCAGCATACCCGACCCTCACAACCAGGATATGGCCGCCGCCACCAAACATTCTCCTGCTCCCCTTCCATCCTAGATCCACCGCCTCCCCCCACCCTTCTCTACTAGCGTATCTCTACCACCCTCGTCAACTAGCATCCCCTCACTAGCCACTCAAACTTTGCACCCCCCTACGCTTCTAATCCAATTGCACCCCCTCCTTGTTCCCCACACCCCACTTCCAATCCTGGGCCTCCTTCCCCCCCTCATCCTACCCCTTGAATTATCTCTAGTGAGTAGCCTGCTACAGCATCCGATCTAGAATTATACTGTAGTTAAGTGTTTAAGTAATTATCAAAAGAAGGCACCAAACCGGGAAGGTTAAATATCACCGCTGAAGGGTGAGTATCGAGCAGCGTCACTCATACTATGTGAACATGCTGGCATCGCAGTATGTGCAACATCCCCCCCCCCCCTCCCTCCCAAATAGGAAGACCTGCTATTATAACTCGTACTATACTTCCCATTTCCAAACTTTTCCCTTCGTCTATGCCTCTTCATCCTCCTTACTTCCCCTGCCCCAAACAACAACAAAAATGTACCCCGACACAACTGAGACTCGCTCAACTGTCTCAAGTGAACAGGGCGTCAATGTTGTTTACAGGGACATTCATGTGCGCTCTACTTTAGTATTATTTTGTTTATCAGTTTGGAACACATACACATTTTATTCCTCGTTTTATATATAATGTTATATTTTAGAATTAGAGGGTGCACGAGGTTCAAACCCCTCATGAATTTTAGGGTGTTTGAGAGAAGGCAGACGATAGCGTTGCACTAGTGCTGGTGGCTGGGCGGACCTCATGGTGCACTCAGTATAGATAAGATTCAGTTGAATACGTGTGAGTGAGGCTACGCAACCTGCCATGTGTTTTGGCTATTACCACCATGGTGGTGGAAGACGGATGCGGTGTGGCGTGGCGCCGTCCTCCGCCCAGATAGAGAGGCCCCTTGAACACCACCGCTGGCGAGGGAAAGTCTACATCCGCTTTCTATGTCGTGTCACTGCAGTTATGTACCGTAGCGGCAGGTGGTAGAAGGGCTGGTTTACCTGGCGCAGGGGAAGGGGGGGTTAGGTCCCTGGTGAGGCAGTGTGGCTCACATGTTTGCTGTGGTACAGCAGCTGCTGAGTCGAGACTGCCTCTCTCCCACCCCCCACCCCTCTCTCTCTTGGCCTCACCCCCCCTCCCCTCTCTCACACACGCACACATGATTTGGCATACCCTATGTTTGATTGGCCTATCCACCTTACCCTTATCGTATCACCCGATCCCTTACCCTATGTTTAATTGCCCCCATACTCCTTCAACCCTTTAACGTGTGTATTAACCTAGAATTGTACCTCATTATTTACCTGAAGATGGTCCAAAGCGCAACGATACGTTACAGCAAATATATCCTTCAATTATTTCAGGTGTTTCTTTACCATGAATTTTGGTAACTTGATTGCACTTCTCATATATAATGTGTAATTACCTAAGTGTAGTTACAGGATGAAAGCTACGCTTGTGGTGTCCTGTCTTCGTAAATGGTTGTCGTATAAGTATCTTCACATAACCAAAATTATAATTCAAGCGTACAATGCTTAATAAAAAAATTATTTTGTGTAACTGAAATTTCAGATTAATAGAACCTTAGCTAATGTTTTGTTCTTCTTTCAGTCATGGAAACAAGACGACGTTCTCGTGCAGCGGCCTGCGCGTGTGTGTGGACTGGTTCCGTGCCCGCGGACACACCGAGATCACCGTCTTCGTGCCCTCCTGGAGGAAGGAGGCGCCTCGGTGGGACACACCCATCGTGGATCAAGATGTTCTACTGGAACTCGAGCGAGAACGTATCTTGGTGTTTACGCCTTCCAGGGTATGTGGCGGCAAACGCATTGTCTCCTACGATGACCGCTACATCCTCAAAGAGGCTGTGACTTCCGGCGGTGTTGTCGTCAGCAACGACAACTATCGTGATCTGGCTGCAGAATCCCAGGCCTTCCGACGGGTAATAGAAGAGAGTTTACTCATGTACTCTTGGGTCAATGGTCGCTTCGTACCTCCTGATGACCCTCTAGGAAGAAGTGGACCCACACTAGATGTCTTCCTACGACGAAGTACTCGAGACAAACAAGCACTATGTCCATATGGTCGTAAATGTACTTATGGTAACAAATGCAAATATATGCACCCAGAGCGAGGCACTGCACCATTGAAGTCTGTGACAGAACGACTGCAAGAACAAGTACAGAAGCACTACCAAAATAAGGCCAAAAGCAGAGACTCATCACCAGGTAATATGTTACACAATTTTTACAGTGTTAGTATTTCACTATGTAGTAACTAGCTGCTTTTATATATTATAAATATAAAATACAAAAATGTCAAAGGTAATGAATTTTCTTATTATTTTGATGCCATCTTAAGACACTTAGTGCTTTCTAACTCTTACGTATTCATCGTCAGAAGACAGACTGCAAATAACAGTATAACGAGGGAGGGAGGATATGAATATTATAAGAACAGGACGTGAAAATAAGTCATAAGACGGTGAGATCAAACAGAGAATAAAAGCGAGACAATTTATGGCGAGTAAACAAAGGCCCTGTTCATGACAGGTCGAAAACTAAGGAGCAGAAAAAGCATATAAGAGGATGTATAATATATTGAACTATAACAATGGTACAACAGTCTGGAACTTATTCATAATTGAGAAAAGAAAATTATTCATATTTATTGGGAAGGAAACGTTAAAGTTATTCTATATTGAATGTGGATGCAAAGGATTACATAAAAAACTGAGAAATTAGGAACAGACTGATGAATTTAAACTGCGAGTATTGGGAAAACAAGTGATGGTCATCAGAATTGCAATATTTAGAGGACATGAAGAAAATATAATTACAGGACACTCGACCCCCTAACCACATTAACAAAATGTCTAGATAATGTAGGGCAGAGGTGCAAAAACAAAACAACTAAGTTTATACTTGCTAGCTAACAACTAATACTGGCAGTTTATGCAGATGATGAGTCATAATAATGTGGCTAAGGATATGAAGACTAAACCACAGACAAGAAAATGAAGAGACGATGATGTTTCAGTCCATCCTGGACCATTATAAAGTTGATTGTGATGGGAGCGATTGATTGATAAAGATTAAGCCACCCTAAAGGTGGCACGGGCATGAATAGCCCGTAATGGGAGCAAGGGAAGCATGGGGTATTAAGGCAAGAGAGAAGCAAGGAGGCTTCCTCATGGCTTCCCAAGGAGGCTTTCTCCTCCTCACCTCTCTTGCCTTTCTTAAAGCCCGTGCCTCCCTTGCTCCCTAAATTATGGGCTCACCATAGCCTGTGCTACTTTGAACTTTTTGTTCAGGGTAGCAGAATCCAAAACAATAAGAACCTCGCTCCCATCACAATCTACTTAATAATGGTCCAGGATGAACCAAAACATCATCGTCTTCACATTTTCTTGTGTGTGGTTTAGTCTTCAACTAATAGTTTACACTCGTCAGTGATTTTAGGTATTAAAAATGGATCTAGTTTAAAAAGAGGCTGTGGCAGGTGTTAAGAGTACTGGAACAGTGACCAATGTGGAAAGAATTGGTTAAGCTTCTTTATGACTGGATATGCCTATGTAAATTGGGTGAAATATGAATCTAGGTGTCAGCTGAAAGTAATGCATTTCAATGAGTCCCAGTTGATGTATGGTTGACATAATTAATGTGTAGAAATATTGCAGTAGATTGCCTAGCTGAGTGTTTATGCTGAGAAAGGTGAATGGTTAGAATTGTTCCGCTAGTCCGATGTAAATGTAATCGCATTACATGCATGGGACAAAGTAAGCACAGCCTGTTGAGGTAGTCATAGGGAATTTTTAATAAAAATAGTTTACAGATGAAAAAGAAATGTGGGCTGCAGGCCCACATTTCCATTACAAGCCAGCTGATCTTGTTCAATTGTCTCTCTCATATGGCACTTTGAAATTACTGTACCATATTTCAATTACTAAGTAGCACAGGCTATTACTGTTTTTTTTCCTATCACAGACGTGGCCACACATTTACAATGCTAACCAGCATATATACATTTTCTTCTGTCCTCTATGGACAGGGTTAGAGATGTGTTAAACATATAGTTCAGGGATTATATGTTTAACAGATCTCAGTTTAATACAGTTAGCTACTCATTGTATAGTTTACCGATAACGTGGATCAGGTTCAATATTTCATGCTAATTCAATGGTTATGCAACCTTCTTTTTTATTGCTACCAAGTTATACTATAATTGAAGTGCACTTTATTTTTTATTCACTCCTCATTGGTTAATGTTTGCCTATACTGTACCATATTAATGATTTGATTTCCTTTTAATATGATTTATTAAGATGAGTATTTAATTGCATCTATTATTTTAAGTTGTCATTTACAGTATAAATATTTTTTCTTTTCAGGCGAAGGTCTCCGTTTGAAGAGTTTATCACTTCCAGTGGGTATTGCAGAATCTGATGTAACCAAAAAACCACTAGCACGTACACAGTCTATAGTGCCATCAGTGTCCCTCACTCTGCCTTCTGCTCTTACTCAAGAGACTCCAACACATGATCTGGGACCCAGCACGTCATCTGCTTCTTCACACTCGCACCACCACCTCATGCCCCCGCACATGGATACACGCCCACTTGATCCACTGCGTTCTTCAACTATGTTTAAGAGTGATTCCTCTCTCTATCATATATATTCCTCCCAGAGCACTCAACCTAGCTATGGAGCATCGACTTGGTGGAAGGATCAAGGAAATGAACTACCAATGAGGGCTATGACTAGCCAACAAGGGGCACCTCCTCAAAGCCCTTCCCAAATGTATGGCTCTCATCTCTCTCTCACAAAACAAATGTCTGATCCAGATCCTGCTGCATCTGATAATCCTCACAGGAAGCTGCAGCGTCAACTTACACTTAATCCAGCATATGATTCTCGCCTGTACAAGATAGTTGGCTTTAGAGAACCAGCTCCAGAGCACTTTCCCCTTGCCGGTTCTGGTCAGCAACAACAGCAGACAACAGGACAGGGTTCTCCAAGTAGAACCATGAATCGTGATAATGAAGCATTAGCCTTCTCTCAAGTGGCAAGTGGCATGACAGGACGTGTCTCTCCTGGATATTCGTCACCATATGGAAGCCGTGAGCAGCTACCAGCAGGGATGCACCCACCTCTTGCCCGTCATTCATCACAAGAGAGTGCCAAGCATATGGTTTCTTTGCCACCTCATTTATATCCCACATATTCCCATCCTCATGTAACACGCTTTGCATCTGCTCCAGACCCAATCTGGGGTGGCCATCAGCAACAGGCATCTCCTGGACCACCACAAATTACACGCTTAAATTCCACATCTGATACAAGGCTAAATGTGTACAGTAGTAGTGACTCACATTTTTTCCCAGATGTTTTTGAAGAGCAGTTGGGACGTTTACCACAATTCCAAACTTTGGGACCTCCGCATAGTGTAAGCCCTGGCCCAAGTGCTCCTTCACCAGGACCAATTGGTTCTAGGCCAATGTCTCCCCAACAAGGTCCGGTTCATCATCACTCGCCAAGTGTGTCTCCACGACAGCAACCAGTGGGATTCTCTTCAAATTTCTCTAATCCTACAAGTCATGAGGATGCTCGTTTACATGTTTTTTATCATCTATCAAACCTATTCCCAGAGGCTCAGGTTAGAGCTGTCTTGGCAATGTATCCAGAAGAAACTGACCCCCAGAAAATATGTAGTTATATTTTGTCTTGTAACCCTGGGCCTGTTGGGTCGCGCCCAATGTCTCCCCAACAGCTATCACAGTCAGGAGTGGGTCACCAGTCTCAGGGTGCCCCAGTGTGTGGATCCTCTCCTCTCTCAGCTGGGTTTTCCAGTTCCCTTCCAACTGCTGCCTCCAGTCATGAGGATGCACGTTTACGTATATTTTATAATTTATCACAATTGTTTCCTGTAGCTCAAGTGCGTGCTGTCTTAGCTAGATATCCTGAGGAAACGGATGCAAAGCAGTTATGTGCCACACTTCTAAGTCATCTAAGTGGCAATCAGTCGTGAAGTTAGCACACTGTAAATAAACTACTGGTGCATATCATCAGGCTCACAACTGCAGCATGTGTGTGTGTGTGTTATAACCAGGATAATGGCAATTCGTAGTTGTGCAGTGTTTACATTCACATTGCTCTTTATTAATGCAAAATAAATATTTGATTTCAGTAAAACTAATTTAAATTCTTAAAATTCATTCCAAGATATTGGTAATATTTATTGTAGTTCAGAGAAGTGTGATAGTTAAATGTACTTAGAAATTTAAACATTGAGTGAGGCTGATAGTATTAATGTAAATATTCAAGTTAGTAATGTAAAATGTTTCAACAAAAAATTGGGATCAGAAAGTGGTTTATATGTGTAGGATTGTATATATTACTCAATGAGCAGGAATATAATTAGAATGACTGTTTTTCAACATTGGCAAGTGAAAGCCATTGTCTTTGTGGTTGCATTTACAAGAGTACATGAATGTTTACCATGCCTGTAGATAATTACTGCTTGTTCAATTTGACAGTAGTATATATATTACTTTGGTACTAGCACTGCTGCGATTGCTACACTTTAGTTCAGGATGACAAGCTTCGGTTATGGTTCTTCTGTTCTTTTAAGTGTAATTGGAGTGTCCCACAGTGTCTTATGGACAGACTGGAGAACGTGGCTGGAGCTCTCTTGCTAAGTTAGTCACTGCAATATATAGGAATGGCGCCCTTTCAGTATGTACAGTATAGTATGAACTATTGTGTTACCAACAACCAGTTTGTTAGCAGGAGGACTCAACAGCCCATGTTAGCGAGTGCCATAAGGTGCCATGGCTTCCAGTCGACCCAGCACCGTTATCGAGTTGGATACACTTTTTTTTTTTTCCCTGGTGCTATGCTGGCTCAGCTTGAGGCTTGTACCACTAGTTACATGAAACGATTTGCTCAGCATCTAGATACTGATAGTATTCTTAATTAAAGAATTATCAGGGAATCATTTGACATGGAAGAGGAATGATAATGCTATTAGTTGAAAGTTGAACCATAAAGGAAGAGGTTTGTAATTAGTGTTGATAGTTGATGTTTTGGTGAGCCGCAAGACTCTTAGTCATTGAGAGTAATTAATAGGATGAGTGAGTTGGCACAAACCTATCAGGTGGAACAGATTATTTTTGTTATGAAGATAGAATGTTTCTATTATTACATATGAATTTTTTTTATTTTGCTACCCTTTCTCTCTTTTATGCAACGTGTGTGTGTGTAAGGAAGCCACCAGAAAGTGCGATATCTGGCTGTGGTTTGGTTTTGTGATGTTTGATCACCTCAGGTTCACATTTTTGTGAAAGTTATTACTGCAGTACTTTCACTGGTGAGCTTTAATGAGGTTGGTATGTATACAAACCTAGCAGAATCACACTTTCAATGTTGGCTGGAGTGAAGCGCGACATAACAATACTATGTATTGTGGGCTGTACTGGGTGTGTACCCAACCATTGTGTTGCTACATCCATTGCTTCCAATCATCACCAGGTTGAATCATAAGCTACCTTTATTGCTCCTCAGTGTTCATTCTTCCAGTAGTGTGAGTGTGCCAGTAAAGATGGGGTTGCTTATATGTGGCTTCTGTTCAACCTGCCATAATAGGGCTCTGGTGATGAGTGATATGCAATGAGTGTAGCTTGACCGCTGCATAGCGGTAACTGTGTAGCTCATATTGATCTTGAGGGTTTACCACACTTGGACTTAAGTCTTCTCATTTAAGAAGAATTATTTAATGGATATTATTTCCATTACTTAGTATCTGAAGTGCACTAATCCCAAACATTTTATAGTTCTTTTATTTATATTTACATCCATGTTATATAAGGTGGATCAAATTTAAACACTTTTGTCAATTTTTTTTTAATTGTGGAGGTTTTGGTGTCGTTCTTCAAAACTTTGTAAAACAATTAGATTAATCCTTTTTGCAAGTCTAGGAGGTGACCCTCTCTTGGCTTTTCACACTGACCTTCCTACACTCGGAATAAAGAAAAAACCGGCAGTTCTGTATTATTTTACCTTAATTTTATATATTGAAAACTAAAAATGTTAAGCCAGTCCTCCTCAATGACTGGCAATGTCTCTCGAATATGATTATAGATATTCACCAAATAGTGAAAAGTGGCAGATGACAGAACATCTCATAATGAATGTTATTTGAACCTGCCACCGTAGAACTGCAGAGGGTTAAGTCAGACTTGAGTTTAGAAAAAAGAATACAGTGGGTCCTTTTATGAGAGCTGTAGGTGTGTGCTAAATTCAAAAGGGTGGGATTTGAAAGGGATTTATGAGTAAGGAAAGTAAGAGGAAGATAAGTACTGAAGTTAACTGTTGAAAAGTGGAAATCCAGTTCGTTTGCGATCAACACCAGATCTGCCACAACAGAACCATGGAGGTGAAGGATGTCTGGAACAAATTTTCTTCCAGATCCAAGAGCGGGTGTCAGCCATAATGGCGGTAACATAAGATTTCCAACTCACACTTAGCCATACAGATACTGTAGTCCTACGAGCCACTGCACTTGCTCTCTGAAACAAAAACGAATTGGGTGTCTGTTGGCGTTGATGTCTTTTCAGGCTGGATGCTTGCAGCATACAGCCCGAGCAGTCCAAATTCAACAGGGAATGCACTTCCACAAGCCATGGGAGGAATAGAGTAGAGGGCAGCATTGAATAAGATGTCATAAAGAAGGAGGGCTTGAGGGAGAGGCAGGTCAAATAGGTCAGAAAGAATAGTATGGAGACTGAATAGACTCCAGTCAGCCTTTTCAAACCACCACTGAGGGAATGAAAGAAGAGGGCAGAAAGAAAACAAGGTTACGAGGATTGGGAAATGGTCACTTGTGGAGGTCATCAAGGACCCTCCATGTCATAAATAGAGGAGAGGCAAAGAGAAAGATCAAGACAAGAAAGGATGCAAGCGAGTCAACATGAGTAAGTTCACCAGAATTCTGGAGAAATAATGAAGAATAGAGGACAAAAGGCTCAAGAAAGCGGCCTTAGGTATTTGTCAGATCATCGCCCTAGAGGGCTTGCTGACACTTCAAACCACCCATAAGTAGTACAGGCTCCAGAGTCCAACAGGTGTTTAAGATCAGGAAATGAAGGTGAAATATGTGGGAGAGAGATAAATGATACACAGTTTCTTTCGCTTACTTACAAAGTTACAGGCGGCAGAGGAATGAACATTTAACTGAAAAAGTAGTGGAACAAATGGAATATTATTATTTCAAACCAAGAGAGAATTAGAGCTTAGGGGTCCCAACAAAGGCTGGAGGGGGAGAGAGAAAAACAACTGCAGAAGTGACCAGGATGAGCACACCAAGCATTGGCTTCTGGAGACGTACACAAAGCAGTGAAAATTGAGATTGGAAGGTGGAGTTCATGGAAATTGGCATAAAACCACATATATTCCATCGAAGAACAGTCAACAACAGATGAAATGTTAAAATAAAAAGAGAAAACTAAGGCAAAAAACAGTAAATTAGGAAAGATCAGCAGGAGGTTAAGTGAAATCCTGGTTGGGGGTATAGGTAAATCTAGAAAAGATGGTATAGTCCAGAGGGCGGTGGGAAGGGGCATAGATGAAGCGACATGGTCCGGTGAAGAAGGCACCGGGGGGGTCAAGGGAACCGGCAGCAAGCTCTGGATCGAGGACAGCAGAAGTTTCCATAGTAATGTCAGTTAACTACTCCTCTGAGATAAGAGAGGAGATGCAGAGACAGTAGAAGAGGAAAGTGGTGGTTGGATTGAAGCTTTCTTACCCGTTAAGAAGGAAGAAGGGGAGCCAGATTTATGTTTCTGACTGCAAGACAGTTGTTCCAGTAACAATGTACTGTGCAACAAGCTCTACAGTCTCAGGTGGCGAGGAAGAATGAAAACGGAACACGAGGTCACCTGAAGGATGAACAGTTGTTGGGGAATGTCAAATGACAAGTAGCAAGTATATTATGTCAGTAATATACTTGCTCCATATTCTCATTAGCATATGTGCAGATAATGAGATGGCTCTGTTAATTGTACTTAGTCCACTAATTACAATTAACACCTCTTCCCAGGTGTACAGTTAATACTTCTTCCCAAACCTGCTAGAGGACGGTCAGGCAAGGTGAAGGACTGGTAATATAAGCAGTCGATAGTGAATCATCATCATATGGGCTATTCATGCCCGTGCCACCTCTTGAGTGGCTTAACTTTCATTGATCAATCAATCAATCATCATCAGTCTAACTCCAAGAGTGGTTCAGTACAGATACTTGAGATATACCACACATCTTCAGCATCCATGAACAACAATGTAAGACTCAATGTGTCCAGTTCCTACCCTCACAGGACGCTTCAGCCTCGACACAGAGCCAGACTCCGGCCACATCATGCTTTCATACTTTCATCCAGCACTCGGCTCCTCAACTCTGCCCGCATTCAGAACGCCAAACTCTACACACACCCTGCATCTGAGTTGCTCTCTATCCCAGAGCCTCACTCAGCTCTCTGCCCTGCTCCAGACTTCGTATCAACTTCTACGATACTTCACTACACTGCCAACAAACCGACTGTTGTAACCAAGACACAGTAAATATAAAAAACCCACTAATCTCTGTGTCTAAGCCACTAAATACATACACGTAAACTTACGTTACAAACATAGGGAAAGGCTGAAGAACAATGGGGACTAAATGTGGAGAGAGAAGATGGAGGCGGTGGAGTAGATACACTAAGACAAATTGCAGCAGAAGACTGGGAAGGAAGGCTGGAGATATCGGTCTGTGAACCACGAGGAACACCCTTAACTTGAGATCGCAGAGGATCAAAAGACAAGGAGTGGAGGTGTCGGGGTTTAAAGCCTGGAAACAACTGCGAGACTGGTAAAGGTAAGAAGGGCGAGAACAAAGTAATGAAAAGTAATGAAACTAGGCGGTGGAAACAAGAGGCCAGACACAGGATAGAGAATGGGAGATGAAGTACTTCATGAAACAGACAGAGAGAAAGATCTAGGAGTTGATATCACACCAAACCTGTCTCCTGAAGCCCACATGAAATGAATTACATCTGCAGCATACGCAAGGCTAGCTAACATCAGAACAGCCTTCAGAAACCTGTGTAAGGAATCTTTCAGAACCTTGTATACCACATATGTAAGACCAATCCTGGAGAATGCGGCCCTTGCAGGGAGCCCGTACCTTGTCAAGCACAAGACGAAGCTGGAGAAAGTTCAGAGGTATGTCACTAGACTGGTCCCAGAACTAAGTGGCATGAGTTACGAAGAAAGGCTGCGGGAAAGGCACCTTACGACATTGGAAGACAGAAGAGTAAGGGGAGACATGATCACTACCTACAAAATTCTCAGGGGAATTGACAGGGTAGATAAGGATAAACTGTTTAACATGGGTGGTACACTAACAAAGGAACACAGGTGGAAACTGAGCACCCAAATGAGCCACAGGGACGTTAGAAAGAACTTTTTCAGTGTCTAGTTAACAGGTGGAATGTATTAGGCAGTGATGTGGTGGAGGCTGACTCCATACACAGTTTCAAATGATAGAGCTCCAGAAGCTCAGGAATCTGTACACCAGTAGATTGACAGTTGAGAGGTGGGACCAAAGAGCTGAAACTCAACCCCCGCAAGCACACCTCAGCGAGTACATGACTAGTTTGTTGGGAACCTCAAGTGTCACACACATCATCTTTCTTTCCCACTTCTTATATATTACTAATACTTATTTATTGTCATTAGAACTGTAACTTTCACTTTTGCTTATACTGTAAAGTATTGCATTTTCATTTAGTAATTGACAAGTTTTTAATTTTTATTGATTATAGCATTCCTATTTTCAGTCAGTGTACTGCTGTACTGTATTAGTATACAGTACTATCATTTTATTATTATTATTATTATTACCACCATTAAGTAATGGTAGTGTCTGCTCACAGACATAATAATACTGTAATAGGATAAAAACCCACACTTGTGTATTTGTGAAATTTATGTAAGGAATTTACACCAAGTCTTTCACACTCTCCCGAGTGCTTTATCAAGGTCTGAGTGTGTGATTAGGAGGAGACTTACACCTCAACGTCTAATCAATGATTAGACGTCGAGATGTAAGTCTCCTCTTAATCACACACTCAGACCTTGAAAAAGCACTCAGGAGAATGCAAATGACTTAGTGTCAATTCCTTACATAAATTTCACAAATACACAAGTGTGGGTTTTTATCCTATTATTATCATGCATAAATCACTAGCATAATTGTATTCAGTAGATAAATCTAACTTCACATATACAAACATTTACAAGTACAAAATTATCTGTCTTTTTGACATGATGACCAAACGACATATCTGAAGATGGAGAAATATCGTCATTTTTCCATTTTCTGATGTGTGATTTGGTCATCACACCTTCAGCCTTGCAACTCGTCGTTAGTATCTGTCTTTCGTATACACAAGTATTAAGTGACAGCATCTTATGAAGACCGAAACATGAAGTGAAAGATGGCATTTTTATATTTCAATGAGTGTTTGCCGCTTTGTTTTAGGTACCTTATTTTGTACGTACAAATTTCTTTGCAGACCCTCTTCAGTCATCGTTTAGTTGTAAGCATGTTATGGACAATGAATGCCTCTCAAGGGACCAGTGGTCTGCAGTGCCTCTCACAGTATGTGAAGGGAGTTAACTCTTAAGATAGCTGTAATATTCTCTTGGGATATTATTAGGAAAAGTGTAATCACACTAATCAAAATTTATTAGAAAACTTAAGGAGATATAAGAAGTGCATATTACTTTTCCTTTCTTTTGTTTTTGTTTAACAAGAGATATTTGCAGCGAGTTACAGGTTACTGGAGAGTTGCAAATAATACAATTATTCTAAACTGAAAAAGCTTATACAGTACAAGTGAAAATTACATATGGATCAGCAAATTTTAATTACAAGTTTACATCATTAATTGAACTTACACTTTGAGAAGTCCATTTCTGGGTGCTGTTCCATGAACCTGAATTAGAAAGTAAGAAAAAGGAAATTTTAGTTCTATAAATTGCATCAAATTGTGAACTAATAACAGTTAATTGGTTTTTCTCTGCTACAGGCTACATTAATACCACCATTATACCTGCTTGATGGGGTTCTGGGAGTTCTTCTGCTCCCCAAGCCCGGCCCGAAGCCAGGCTCGACTTGTGACAGTCGACTTGTGACAGATTATATACAGTAATAATAAACAATTAGTTCTCATGTGCATATGAGTCTGCTATAAATTACTAGCTGCTTTCCTTCTACAGTACTGTACATTTAGAAGAAGAAGAGCACATGCATCTCCTTGCCTCTGATATAATGCAAAGAAAAACGAATGAAAACACATTGAATTACAGTGCAGTATATACAAAAAAGAAATCAAAGTCTAACATGGGAACAAGCTTAATAGGAAAGCAAAAAACTTACATATATATTTGATCCCATTACAGAAACATTAAGCGAGATGTTAAATTTATTAGTCAAACAAGTCTTAACTCTAGCACAGTACAGTATCTACTTTTACCAATAAAATGATAAACTGTACAGTATTAAGAAAAATCATACACTTAAAATGTAATGTAACACTTATCTGATGTCTACAAGCACTAGTAGGCTACAATGGTATATTCCTATATATGAACAATTTGTAATTTTGACAAACAAAAGTTAATATGTATATAGTTGGTTAAGGAAAATCCAACAATGATAACACACGAGGCTTATGTTAAATACTGTAATTATAAAAATAACAGTGACAGAGTTTGCGTTTTTAACTTCCTTACCACTGAAAGAATAATGTAGAGTAATGTACAAAAAATTGAGCGTCGAGTGTAAATGAAATGCCTATTTCTTGGCGAGCCTCAGTGGCTCCCTGAAGCTATCTTACTGATAAAGTGTCATAGTACTCGGAGTCATCAGTTGGCGAGGTCTTTTTGCCTTCCAGGGACCACGAGCCGGAACCTGGCCCCTTCAGAGAGGCAAAGGAAGCAATGGCCCATGAATACTTTAAATGTAAAGTCTGCCATCATCCAGGGAAGGCACCCAGAAAGGTAGGCATACCAAAACAACACACAGGCAGTCACAAGAAAGGGAACATAAGCATGCAGCTGCACAAGACCCACATCATGGGGAATTGCAGGGGTGAAGAGGCACACATTGAGGGACTGCAGAGGGCTCCCTTGCAAAACAGGAGATGCCTCCCACCAATCAAGTATGCAGGTACGACAAAAGCCGCACCAAGCCCCTAGCGAAACCAAAGGACAGTCCATTAGACAGGAAGACTCTTAGAACCTCATAATGAACCTAATACTCAGTATGGAAAAGAACCAAACTCAAAAGAGGCTGTATCCATAACAAAGGCATAAACCGGGTTACGCCTTTGGAGGCAAGCACCAATAGCCTCCTGAGCCTCCGCAGGGATAACCCGGGTGGAGGAAAACCTCTGGAAAGACTAAACTGGAACACCCAATGGCACCCAGAAACAAACCCTGGGGAAAGCCCACCTAACTCAAAATCACACATAGAAGGGGTAGAAGAAAACCATTTGTCCTGCAAAAGAAGACCCTGCAGAGGGGGCAGAAGGGCCCCACACAGGATCAATGAGATCTCCTATCGGACCCCTTCCAAACCCCGGGAACCGCAGGCAAGGGCCCTAGGGCTGAACACTCATTCACACCCACTGCCCGGGAAAGGATAGACAGAGTTCAAGGGAGAGGCCTCATAAGAAGGAGTCGGCTGGGAGGACTCGGAAGCCTCGGCAGGAAAGAGCGGCTCAACTGCCTTCGCACCCACATTGGAAGGGGTAACCTCTGGAGCTGCCCAAGCCACATCCAGAGCCAAATCTTATCCTGAGTCTGAAACTCTCAAACACCCGAGTCATAAGCAGGGAAGAAAGAAGAAGGGCAAACCACGCCCACCAGTGAAGGAAGAAGTGTGGAAAGATCCACGGTCAAGGTGCCCAACACCCCCAAACCCAAGTCCCTAAAATCCAAGCACATCCGGGGCAACCAACTTGGCACAAAACCTTGCTTGCTGCAAAACAGAAAACCAGTGATCCAAAACAACTGCTGCTTAATACCTTGGAACACCCATTAAGGAATGAGCAAGTTGGAGCTCATCAGGGGAAAAAGTCCCACATGACTTGAAGTTGTATGTGTCACTGACCTAACATGCAGCAACATGAAACCACCCAACCACTTTTACTGGAGAGTAGAGCAAAGGTCTCACTTCTTGCAGATCGGCGTTTAGTCCTTGACTGTCCAAATGGTTGGGCACCATTCCTTCCCCACATCCCATCCCAAATCCTTATCCCTTCTAATTGCTTTATAGTCATACTGTAATGACTTTTCCCCTGACAGTTTCCTTCCCTTTCCTGCCAAAGCCATAAATGCCAAAACCTTGCTAAACTTTAAAATCCAGCAGGAAAAAATCACCAGGACAAATGGGGAGACCTTTGACAAGATGCTGGCTTCCTGTCCTCATGGAGACCACTAGTGTGGTAGTGGCCATCAGGTAAATTCAGGCAAATATATGAAAACATTAAGTACATTATCAACCAACCTTGTGACCCTGGGAACCAACTCCCAGGGTCACTACAGGAGTTGGAGTGAAGAGGATTCAGAATACAGTACAACTTACTTTTTAAGAACATCTTGCTTCTTTTGTTCCTCTGAGGTAGGTAATCCCATCTCCTTTTGTCGCTGATCATACATCATCTTTTCTACCATGCCTCTTGTCTCTCCATCTAAGTCACCCAATTTTGAGGGTTCTGGGTTAACTTTTTGTGTATTGATCTCTGGGTCCGAGGTCACCAAGCGAGACCACCACTCCATCTTGTTAATCTAAAGGAGCATCAAAATTAGTCATAGAATCTGGCAATAATAAAAATACTGTACTGCAAATGTAAAGTACACATTTGTACGACATGTACACAATTCAGTAGTTTCCTTTATTCTAAGGTACTCCCCTCCAGCAGTGCATTCCGTTTCTGCCGCTGCTGCCATATCTGCTTCTGAAGCATGCTTCCAGCTGGCACACCTGGCTCTGTCAACACAAGGACTCTTGCCACATCCTCTGACCTCTTCCCTCACACCTCCCTCCAATTCCTATTACCATCTCTAGAACCTATTCATGTATATTGCTGGATTACCAGGTGATGACATAACTTTCTAGCTGTCACCAGAGATTACTAAACTTCAAAGAACTGTGGCAACAGTTACAAAAGAACACAAATATGAAATGCCTGGAATGAGCGCTTTAATCAAGTTCTCTTGTGGAGACTTATCTTGTCCGATATTCCTTATAGTAACAGAATTCTATATGTACCTGTTGTCTGCTGATAAAAGGCTGACAGCTATACTGTACATGTGTACATATTATCTCTATCTCGCCTAATCACATCATTCATACACCCGCTGAGGAAACATGGCTGACATTTACTGCACTCAAAGTATTTCAGGACTTAAGTACAGTATGATGAAGTTCATCCTCACTCTTAACTCATTTTCTATGATATCACCTACAATAGAAAACGTCTTAAGGACAGACTACGTTATAATATTTTAGAATTTTTTGCCAACAATAATAATAATAATAATAATAATAATAATAAATAATTATAATTTAGTTATAAAACATCTTATTTGACAATTATATTTTTCAAATACAATATTTATATTTTGTACAAGGTCACTAATCAACGAAATGAGAACATTTGCTCATTTCAACAACAATTCAACTATTTCTGTGACAATATAATCAAGGCTCAGCTTCGGTTGTTGACCCAAATTGTTGTACAAGGCTGTGGCAAGGGGCCAGATTCACGAAAGCACTTACGCAAGCACTTACGAACCTGTACATCTTTTGTCAATGTTTGGCGACTTTGTTTACAATTATTAAACAGTTAATGAGCTCCGAAGCACCAGGAGGCTGTTTATAACAATAACAACAGTTGATTGGCAAGTTTTCATGCTTGTAAACTATTTAATAAATGTAACCAAAGCCGTCAAAGATTGAGGAAAGATGTACACGTTCGTAAGTGCTTGCGTAAGTGCTTTCGTGAATCTGGCCCAAGAGCTCTAGGCCTAGTGCGATGAGCAGCACCAGTGATAACAACACGGGCACAATGCACTGATAACATCACAAAGCTGGCAAATACGCTCACCAGCAAGCACTTTTCAAACTCAAAATTCAAATTTCGAAATTCAAATTCAACTTCCAAATTCACCAAATTCAACTTACCTTCTCCAGCGTGAGTACGAGTGTGTTGCCATTCTCCAGGAACCAGTTGCACTCCTCGACCTTGACCTCGTTGTAGAGGTCACCTTGGAGAATGGGGGTGGCGTTCCGGAGGCCGGCCTTGACGGTACGCCTGCCCCACTCCACCACCACGTCCCGGGACTTGACCTTGACCCCGAGGGGTACCCACACCTGCAAACACCAGTACGGTTAGTGTCGGCGGGGGTCGGTATACACCGCCAGCTTCTCCGATTGGTTGATAAAGATCAAGCCACCCAAGAGGTGGGCACGGGCATGAATAGCCCTTAAAGCCTCTATATATAACCCAGCCTCTGTGGCTACATATAGACCATCTGGTCACCATTTGGTCCGGGAGACATCTCCCGTCACGCAGGGTGCAGTCGCACCTCCACAGATCTCCAGTATCAGCTCTTGATACTGGTAATGGCTTAAAAGGGCCACCACTACGGGCTATTTATGCCCGTGCCACCTTTTGGGTTGCTTCATCTTCATCTTAAACACATTCATAAGGAGACTCTCCCGTCAGGCAGGGTGCATTCGCACCTCCACAGATCTCCAGTATCAGCTCTTGATACTGGTAATGGCTTAAAAGGGCCACCACTTACGGGCTATTCATGCCCGTGCCACTTTTTGGGTGGCTTAATCTTCATCAATCAATCAATCAGCTACATATAGGCACCGCTCCTGTGCCAGGTAAGTCCACTACGGGCTCGCCATAGCCTGTGCTACTTGGAACTAGTTCTGAGTAACAATCTATAACAACAACAGCTACATAATATATATATATATATATATATATATATATATATATATATATATATATATATATATATATATATATATATATATATATATATATATATACCTGATGAAGACATTCCATGAGCCAAAACCCAGCTCTCCGTTATAACTTCAAGGAACGGTGACCTCCGGCGTGAAGATATCTTTATGTCTAGTACAGGTGTGTGTCTGTGTGTGTGTGTGTGTGTGTGTTACATGCACCCGGGGTTCTAAGTGATTCCAACCGCTGACCCAACGTGTGTGAAGCCGAAGCTCTAGGCATGCTCCAGGCACAAACCATTCACATACTCCATGACCTCCATATACTCTACACCCACCAACACCTGTCACTCGCCGAGGACTCGCCGCGATAGTGCCATGGTCGCCGGGACAGTGACAGGGCCACCCCAACAGTGCCAGGGTCACCACAAGAGTGCCAGGGTCACCACAAGAGTGCCAAGGTCACCACAACAGTGCCAGGGTCACCACAACAGTGCCAGGGTCACCACAACAGTGCCAGGGTCACCACAACAGTGCCAGGGTCACCACACTACAATAGAGAGGAAACTCAGGTGTTACACAAATACTGCAACTCATTAAACAAATTAGGTATACATCATACCATTCTCACCTGATCCATTCGACCAACAGTGGACCTCCCATTAATGTGATAAATGCTTAAAAAAAAACATAGATTATCCCCATAAGTTCAGTAAACAAATATAGCGACATTAGGTCAGTTCGAACGTTTGACACAAGGTAATAATTTAATTAAGAGTGCGGTTTGTCAATCCGTAATTTGATCTTCGTCTTGAATTCACTCTGGCCTGCTTGCTTGGGGTCAAGGCATGCTTTCTACCCCCGGCTGTCAAGATATCCTTCAAGTGTTTGGCGATGATTTGAGGGATTTCATAGGCGGTCTTCAGTCATTCCAAGTCACGTGCATGTTACCTCTAATGTGTTTGTCATCATAATTTATATATGACAAATGCAATAACTCACTAAGAACTCTTTTTTTTTTTTTCTGGGGGGGGGGGGGGAGACGAGGATTCGAACCCTTGCTGTCCGGGATAACACTCCTCCCCTTTTGGCGTGCAGGGTACTATAACCCCTTTACTAGTGAGACGATCAATGGTGAAGTGGTTACGGCACCCTGCACACCAGGGGGTGATCCCGGGTGGCAGAGGTTCGAATCCTGGTTGGGCCAAAAGAGTTTTCAGAGATTATTATATATATATATATATGTTATATATATACATATATATATATATATATATATATATATATATATATATATATATATATATATATATATATATATGTGTGTGTATATCACGAAAATAAACACGTGATTAAAAATGTGACAATGTCAGACCACGGAGGAAAAATGAAAAAGGAATTTCCTTAAGTACTTTCGTATATTAATACATCTTCAGAAGGAGTGAAGATGTATAATATACACTCCTTCTGAAGATGTATTAATATACGAAAGTACTTAAGGAAATTCCTGTTTCATTTTTCCTCCGTGGTCTGACATTGTCATATATATATATATATATATATATATATATATATATATATATATATATATATATATATATATATATATATATATATATGTGATATATATATAATCTCTTTCAAGAGAGATTGAGCCTGCTCTTCCCTACGTAAAGCTACTTATATATATACAACACAAAGATGCTACCTTCAAGATACGTCTACCAGTAGCACAAAACGTTTTGACCAGGAGGCAAACGTACCCTAAACTCCCCCGACTCCTCACTCCCTCTATGCCGGCTCGCCACCGTCGTCAACCAGCAAACTACCATTCCCAGCCTGCCTGCTTCTGATTGGTGACCCGCCGACTGCACACCTGCACCTCAGCGCCATCTACCAAGTCGATGTCTGGGCCTGAACCAGCCATTGAAGTCAGAATATCCTTGTGGTCTCAAGCTGTGAACAACCAACTAATATACACTCTGTTTATTGGTGGAGGTTCTCAGCTAGCGCTATATTCTCACCACCTGTTTAATCATTCTTTGTCTTTATTTTATGTGTAGAGTAACGTCACCCTTGTTCTTAATTTGTGTTATATTTTTTGACTTGTTTGTTTGCACTGTACATACCCAAGGGATTCTCTTTGTTCATAATCTTTCAAGTTAATTAAAGTTTCATTGTTCATACTATGACTTTTGCGTGTCTTCCCTTACTTTACCACAGACAACAGCCAAGCAGTCTATCTTTTTTTTCTAAAATGTGATAGGCATTGACACCAGCCATTAGGAGGACTGCCGAACACCTACACTTAACCGTCACAATATTATATATTATAATATATATATATATATATACACACACTTATATACGAAGCCAAATTTTCCTTAACATTTAATTTAAAACAATCACTCGATAGATATTAAATATAATATAAAAATGGATCTTTTCAATTGGACTCAAAAATAACTTTGAAAGCTGGAGTGAAGAAATCGAGAAGCTGAAGCTTTTATACAAGACAAAGGAAATACAAATGTATATATTTCAATATATACATTTAACATGTACATTTGTATAAATACAAATGTAATTGAAATACATAAGATACAAGATACAAAAAAATATACTTTTTCACATACAAAATAAAACTGAACTTCCAAAACCATTAGACCAACACGTATAAGACAAGGTTTATACACACAGGATATCAAAGAAATGAGTGAAATCCTGAAAGAATAGAAGGAATCGTCTGGAGAGAGTGAAACAATGCCCACCATTGTCTCCACTCCACACTCCAGTAGGCTGGTTTTGGCCTGTTACAATGCTCACCTGGTATGCTCACTCGCCTTAAATTTAAGGGTATATACATCCATATTGGGAGAACCGCGTAGGAATAACTGCCCTTCTACCGTGTGTGATTCGACTGCATTTTGTAGGGGGGATTTCAGTTTGATTTTTGTCCCCACCCCTGACTTGCTTCTCCCACACCTGACTTACTTACTTACTTACTTACCTCTCCCACACCTGACTTACCTGCCCCGACACTAATTGCCATCATACCTGGAAAGATAAATCACGTGTTAATATGTACAGTAAGCATTTTTTTGCGCGTGTTCATGTTTGTGTGCACACAAGTATGCCTCTTAGGGACACAGGCGCCTGTACACGCCAGTACGGCAGCCACCACGTGTACACAGTCTCACACACACACGAACAAACATGTAACGATTTAAAAACTCATTATATATAATGTACCTGCAAATACATTCAAGCAATAACGCCCACACAGACTACACACAGCTTCAAATGTCGATACGACAGAGCCCAACAGACTCAGGACCCAGCACACCAGTTGACTGCAACGTGGCACCACATAAAGCCTAAGTGCGCACGCCCCCCCCCCCCCACAAGCACAACCAGGTGTGTACAATTAGGCAAGCACACACTCCCGTGAGAGTGGGGGAGGACGAGGGGACGGTGGAGTGGGGGATGGTGGGGAGGACGAGGGGACGGTGGAGTGGGGGATGTGGGGAGGACGAGGGGACAGTGGAGTGGGGGATGGTGGGGAGGACGAAGGGACGGATAATCAACACGTGGAGATGTTTACCCTACAAATATACCAAGAGTCGAGTGAATCACCGCAGGTGACTTGTCTACAGTCAGCTGTATAGTGCTTCTGGAAGCAGGTATACACAACCACCTCCAACGGTAAAGAAATTCTAACATGATAAACCGGTTTATGACAGCAATTGAGTGTTACTAAGTGATGTGAGAACCGGGGAGGTGCTTGTGCTCTCACTCACTCACACACATAATGATCCCCCCCCAGCCCCCTTACAGAAGATTTAGGGGGGGACATGATCACCACATACAAGATTCTCGAAGGAATTGATCGGGTAGATAAAGACATACTATTTAACACAAGGGGCACACGCATTAGGGGACACAGGTGGAAATTAAGTGCCCAAATGAGCCAGAGAGATATTATAATTTGTTTTTTTTTTTAGTGTCAGAGTGGTTGACAAATATAATGCATTAGGCAGTGATGTGGTGGAGGCTGACTCCATACACAGTTTCAAATGTAGATATGATAGAGCCCAGTAGGCTCAGGAACCTGTACACCAGTTAATTGACAGTTGAGAGGCGGGATCAAAGAGCCAGAGCTCGACTCCCGCAAGCATAACAAGGTGAATACACACACAAAAAACACAGTACACAGTAGTTTTTTGTACACATTACAAAATAAATAGTAGTTAGTAACAGTTGATTGACAGTTGAGAGGCGCGCCGAAAGAGTACAACTCAACCCCTGCAAGCTGGGGTTGACGTTGAATGACGTCAACCCTGACGTCATTTAACCCCGCGAATGACGTCACCATCCACATTGAACACACA